TGTCACCATGGTAACTGATGACCTTGGAGTCTGTCACCATGGTAACTAAAGACCTTGAAGTCTGTCACCATGGTAACTGATGACATTGGGGTCTGTCACCATGGTAAGTGATGACCTTGAGGTCTGTCATCATGGTTACTGATGACCTTGGGGTCTGTCACAAAGGTAACCGATGACCTTGGGGTCTGTCACAGCCACACAAACACAGACATTAGCAAAAACATTATTGCTCTACTTTAGCTTTCAGCAGCAGGCGATACACTAAGAATTAACCTTCCTATTTGCAAAATAAAATAAAAAAAACTTTTACCAATACGTGGTATTGAAAATTAAGAGAACAAAATGTTTTCTGTCTGCTGTGCCAAAAATAAATGAAAAAGTCACACTAAAATCCTTCAGAGTAAAACATTTCCTGTCTTGCCACAATAAAAGCCTGCAAAGTAAAACGTCCAGTTTTACACAATAAAAGCCTTCCTGTTTTCTCTGGATGTAAATCTGAATTTTCCCCAGCAAAAGCATCTTTCATGTGTTGAACCTGTTTGTTCATACCTGACACTGTCCTCTCTGGTGAAGATTAGGATCAAGAACTCACCTGGACCTGCAGAACTCTCGGTTCTGTCGGAAGTCTGGGACAGCAAGTTCAAGACCTGATCCGCCTTCTCGATCAGAGACTCGATCCGGTTCTCTGAGGGGAAGAAGCAGAAACATGTTCGGGGCTCAGCGCCACATTAAAACCATCTGATTACTGAGTCTGAACAGAACCCTGGCTGAGTGTTTACCTCTGAACAGAACCGACGTGTCATTAGAACTTTCTCCTCGTGCAGCGAGCAGAAGAAGCTCTTGGGCCAACTGGACCCTGATGTCTCTCAGCGCACATCGACTTTCCTCCTGTGGACCAGAACCAGGCTGACGTTAGACCACCATCACACTATGTTAGAGCAGCTAAGAGTTCTACAGAACCCGGTGAGTGGGCTTCAGGTACCAGCTGATCAGTTATCTTTTTGTGTAACCACTGAATCTTTACAGTTTTTTTGTAACTTTCGTCAAACCTAACAGAATGATATTTTAGCTGCTCATATTGTTGGATTTCATATTTTTATACCTTTTTTATATTTCCTATCAAGCATTCAAATGTCATGTTATACAAAGTGTGTGTGTGTCTTTTTTCCAGGGTTGAACTATATTTATAGAAAATGTTTGCTAATTCTAACTAGTTGACCTTTAAATATAATCTCATATTAGCTAAGGATAATTTTACAAGTTCACATTTGATATATTACAAGCAATCAAATCATGCCAGATAGCAGACTAATTAACATAAATAAAGCTAGAACACATTTCTTTAATTTAGTCTTAATATAGTTTGACTAAATAAAATCCCTCAGGATCTCTCTTAATAATAACCATTAACATTTAATCATTGTTGAATACAGGGTCGGTTTAGCTGTGAGGACACAGGGTTAATTGTCACAGTAAGCTACAACAGCAACTAAACTAAAAAGTATAAAAAGGATCAAGTAAGAACACGCAAACATGAGTTAGATAACAATTAATAGTTATTAATTATTCCTAGAAATAAACAACTTTAACTCAAATCATTTGGTATCACTAAGGTATAATCACGTTAAACAAACAGCTAAAACGAACGATTTCAGTGTGCCATAAACTTTCAACTAACGTCCTTCAGGGGGCGGGCTAAACCAGTAACCATGGGAACTGAAGGGGCTAAACCAATCAGAGGAGCTAGCTTTTCCAAGCTTTTATAAAAGCCGGAAATGACACACACTCATAGAGCATTTCCGGGAGGCGCACACCGAGACGGTTCGTTCTTTAATGCTCCAAAATATATGCATATATTTTAATAATGTAATTGTTTGTCTCTGAATATCTGTAACCCCTGTTTGTCAAATAAATCTTTTATACCGAGGGCGACGTCTCAGCTGTTTTGAACACGACGTGGTATCAAGCCACGACAGAATGGTGACCCGACGTGCAGCGAGACGCGGCCTAGACTGAATTGGATCGAGGTGGCTTGCGGTGCACACGCAGAGAGGAACTGGGCCCATTAATTTCAGGTAAGCTGGTTAACTGTTTGGACCTTAAGGTCCGGAGTTCTGGCTATTCGGCCGTAAACCAAATTAAAACTAAATTCAAATTCCTCTGTTGGTGTGCATGCAGCCATCTCCGGAAATAAAGATGGTTTTATTTAAGCTAACTTCCGGTGAATCGTGGTAATTCTGACGAGGTGGGTTACGATATTCAGACAGTTTAAGCGCCGAACGCTTTCTTTGACGTTTAGGTAGTGTTTTAGTTAGTTTCACAAGTTTCACTTGTGGCCGGAGGAAGGCGAGGCCTGCCGGGAGTTCACGTCGGACGTGAGCGACACGTTTCCCTTTTTTCTCAGCGGAACTGGCCATCAAAGCCTTACATCTGACGAGATTAAGGTCCGCTCTTGTCAGGGACAGGGCGGGGCTACGGCGCGGGCACTCCGTTTGATGTGTCGACTGCATCATAAATTGGGCTCAATTAATAGTTTAGTTCGAAGGGGAACATGAGAAGTCTGGGACTTAGGTAGTTTTACCAAATTTCATGTGATCAGGGATCGCATTAGTTTTAGGACGTTGTAATAACTTTTGTTTGCGCCGTGTTTTCAATGTTGTGTAACGGCTTCAAGGCCGGAGGCGTTGAGAGAGACGAAACAATAGCGTAGAAGGACAGAAGAGGGGGGAGTGAGCTGTGTGTGGGAAAGAAGCGAAGGGTTACTTTTCTCTTTTTTCTGTGTGCGTCTGTGGATGAGTGGAGCTTCCATATCCTGACCGCAAGGGGGCGCTGTTGTATAAGGCAAGGACAAGTCTGGACTCTGGGTTGTTTCATACCACAGACTTGTATTTGTTTTATTACAACTGCGGCCAGAAGTACATGAAAATAAAATATTTGAATGCCTGAGTGTGTGAATGTTGTTATCAGGTGTGGAACTCATAAATGTGGAACATGTGAAGCCTGTGGAAAATCTATAGGATCAATATCAGAGACAAAATGCACAAATTATGGGAAGTATCAAAATGTAGTGAAGCTAACTGAAGCTACAATGGAATTACCACAACGGTTTAAGTAATTCCATAATGTTGTTGGTAATTCCATTGTAGCAATGCTTTAACCCCTTGGAAACAAAGTCTGTAATCCATTGGAAAAAGTCATATAATCCACAACGATAAATCCACAATGAATGGAGGTGTTGATTGATCAGCATACAGAGGGGTTCTCTTGATTGAACTGCAGATGCGGCCACTGGATGCAGGTTGGATACCAACGTCAGAATTGCAGGTCTCCTCCAGCAAAGGTCGTCGTTGGATGACGTCCAGTCGGTGCCATTCTGGTTCTATGTGTCATGCAATTAAGTGGTTTAAGGTGGGCTTATGAAGGGGATTTTACATAAGGCCTTAACCTATATGCACCTGGTGTGTAAGCTATTATGATTGGGAACAGCTACAGCTACCAGTTAAGGGGTGGAACATGCTGAAAAGGGTAGCTATAGGAGTCTATACCTATAGAAGGGTGTTCCAACTATACCACCATCGCTAACTTTGTCTATGTTAGACTTACATGGCCACTATAGTTGGTTTACTTGTCTGTTGCCTTTTAGACGAATGACTTGAGATTGGGTGTTTGGTTTCCCCATAAATGTTTTTGGAGTCTATGGCGAGACTTATCAAAAAGAATTAGCTATCCCACCGAATAGAATTGTTCGAGTAGGTTCGGCTTGAAGATGGTGAGACCAATGTAGATTATGGTACTTAAGGTAGCATTAATCTACACTGACTCCGCAAAGATTGCATTTTAACAAATGAACTGCATGTTGGCATAGTTAAAGGCCTCTTAGTCTCTAACTTAACTAAACACAAAATTCATTCTTGCTTGGGGTGTTCAGAAACAATACCAAAAACCAATTAAACAATGTCTCAACATCGACAAAAACAGTGACTAAGCAACCAGTAAAACAACGTTTCAACATTGACAAAAGTAGTGATTAAGCAACTAGAAAACGACGTTTCGGTGCGTCACTCACTCTGGTTGTCAGATTCGATCACGTTATCGCGTCTGGTAACATTACCCTAACTGACGTCACCCCCCTTCGGTCATGGGGGACCGCGAACACGGGTGAGGACGTCGCTCCATGAGCTAAAGTTAGGTTGTCCTTGAGTAGCATTAACTGTTTGCGCAGCTGAAAGAGGACTTTAAGGTCTGGATTGGAATCCAGTTCGCCTTTCGATGGAGTGTATTTGTCTGGGTCAGTCAGATACAGTATCATCAAGTTAATTGCAGGATCCAACTTCTGAAGTTGGATGATGTCTGGGTCAGTTGAAAATGACTTTTCATATTTTAAAAGAACTTGGCGAAGTTTGTCCCTTTCTTAATCAGATGTCAGAGCGTCGGCTTGGGCGACCACCTGTTCAATCTGTGATGAGACTGATAAGGGTTCTTGCTCTTTGGGTAGCTCCAACGAATCCCTTTCTGAGTCGTCGGACCTGTCTATGGGTAAGACACCATAGGTTTGAGGTCCTTGGTCGACGTCATCGGTTGAGAAAAGAGCTATGGCCTGTGTTGGTTTTGTGAACCATACTGGCCCAGCTTCTTGACTTGGTACCAGGTTATCTGGGAGTCCTCCCAGAAATGGAATGCCTAGTTCAAAATCATGAAAATCAGTGGAAATCAACCATCTTAGCATAGTGTTTTTGGGGATCATCACCTCATCCGTGCCCGTGTTACACACAGCAACAGATGTGGTCCTGGAGTCAAGGCTCACTTGGTTTGTGGCTTCCACGGACAGTCCCAAGTTGAAAAACGCAGGAGAAGGTTGAAAATATGCCTGTTTATGGCTAATAGCTTGTCCAGCTACGATGTGGATTCGCACCATTAGGTTAATCACCTGAGGTGGTACTGTGGTGGTTTGGTTGTTAGCAACCTGGCAGGCCTCTGGAATGGTCTGCCCAGCCTTAAGGTTTGCTGTGTCTAGCACAGGAGGATCCTTTGTGGCTGGTTTTAGGGACCACAGCACCTTGTTGATGGTGTCCACATGGACACCCAACCTTACCAAAATGTCAGAGCCTATGTAGGTTGCATGTGGTAAGTTTTGGATCACGAGAAACGGGTGAACCAGTTCTCGTTGGTTCCAGTTTAGTTTCAGGTTAATGACTCCTTCAGCGGTCATTACCTGTGAACTATTGGGAACTAATGGAAAGCGGAAAGCTTTTTTAATTAGTTCTAGACCCACGTGTTTGTGAACCAAGGTTTCATAGAAAGCTCGGTTAATTGCTGATTTATCTGTCCACAGAGACAGAACAGCATCGTTGGTGTGGGATCCTTGGATCTCTACACCTTTAACTACCAGTGGTAGGTAGTGTTTGGTGGACTTTGACTGCTCCAGCTCACAGAGGAGGCTGTCTTGTTGGGTCAGAGTTTGGACCACCGGGTGGGTCTCTTTGGTTTCACATGAATTCAGAGGAATACTCACCGGGCTCGTGTCCTCAGCTGAGGAGTCCTTTGCGCCTTCGGCGGTACCTGCTGTTAGGCAGTCTGTGTTACACTCAGGAGGCATTTGTATTGGCAGTGGTTTGCTCACCTTGGCCCACATCGTTTGATCACCAAAATCTATAATCGCGTCGAAGCGATTTATAAAATCCTGGCCAACCAAAAATGGGAATGAGTCAACACTAGACACGTGTACCGGGTGGTATAGTGTCATTCTGCCAATCTGCATGTGAACCATTGCTATAGCTGTCAGGGTTGTCCTCTTCTCTGAGAGACCCTGCATTTCTATAGCACATTCTGTGAGAGGTATTACCCTGTTAACACTGCTAGCGGCTGTCCTCAGCTCCTCGAACAGTTTA